TCTCCACCTCTTCTTCGGGGCTCCTCGCGGTCGCTTGCCTTGTACTTCGAAGTCCATCGCTGTTCTTATCGGATGATCCTGTGGCCTCCTTAGCACATGCCCATACCATCGCAGACGCTGTTCCCGTACCTTCAGCTGGACAGGGGCAGTCTGCATGACCGCTCTGACGATCCTCTCCGCTCTAACGCCTGTTTCCCCCCCCCCCCCCCCCCCCCCCCCCCCCCCGCCCCCCCCCCAAGCCGCGTCCAGCCGCCATCCTCATTCTCAGCGGAGTGAAGCTGCCTTTCGTGATTCTTGTTCAGGGGCCAGCACTCGCTGCCGTAGAGCATCGCAGGCCTTACCACTGTTCGGTACACCTTCCCTTTGAGCGCTCTGGAGCACCTTCGATCGCAGAGGATTCCAGTGGACTCCCTCCATTTCATCCATGCAGCGTTGACCCGAGCCTTCACCGCCTGATCCACACTACCGTCGGCTGCCAGATCGCTCCCAAGGTATCGGAAGTCCTCCACCCTTTCGATGGTCTCACCATGGCCGTCTACGATCGACTCTGCACCCTCTTCAGGAGCTCAGGAACTTGGTCTTCTTGACATTCAGCCGGAGCCCAGCTTCTGTCATTTCTTTCTGCCATTTCTGCACTTTGGCTTGAAGTTCCTCTCTGCGATGTGTAGTGAGTCTTGACTGGTCCTTCCATGAGCCCCTTCACCAGGACATCTAGTGTCAGGAGGAAGAGGAACGGGCTCAGAGCTGACCCTTGGTGCACCCCAACCGTGATGTCCACTTCCTTCGTTAGGCCGTGTGGGGTGCGTATAGCTGCCTTCGCCCCATCGTACATATCCTTCACCAGAGAGATCAGGTGTTCTGGCACGTTCCGTTCCCTAAGCTCTCCATAGTACTGCTCGCGGTAGCCGGTCGAACGCCTTCTCCAGGTCGAGGAAGGCTAGGTAGCAGGGTCGGCGCTTTTCTCGATACTTCTCACATCACTTGCCTTGCGAAGATGGCGTTTTAGACCTTTCGGGCATGAACCCGAACTGTTCCTGGGAGATCTGGACAAGGTCCCGCAGTTTCGAGTCGACCAGGCGCTCGTACAACTTCATGGTATGCGCAGTCAACTTGATGCCGCGGTAGTTGGAGCAGTCCATCGCGTCACCCTTCTGCTTGAAGATGGGGACGATAGTACTGTGTTCTCCTATATCAATCCGGCATCCCTTCCTTCTGCTTCCACCGTATTCAGGAAGCTGGTGAGCCACCTATGCCGTGCTCTCCAGGGCCTTCCAAGCCTCGATTGGCACCCCATCTGGGACCAACCGCCTTTCCAACCTTCATCCTTCCCAAGTGCACACCTAACCTCATCCTCTGTCCAGAGTGCGATGGGACCAGCTGTGGCCTCTGCCCGTGAGTTGTTCTCGTGGGGAACTCCTCGTTCAGAAGACCTCTGAAGTACTCTTCCCACCTCCTCCGAACTTCGGCTGGCTTCCTCAGTATGGCGCCGTTGTTGCTCTTTACGCTTTTCCACCACCCTGATATCTTGAGTAGCCGATACCGCGGTTTTAGCAGCGTGAAGCCCGAACGTACGCTGCGTTCTGCGCTCGTACAAGGCGTCCATTTCCGTGTTCTTCGCCTTGGCGACAGCAGCCTTAGCGAGCCTCTTGCAACTCTTGTAGGTAGCGAGGTCTCGGGGCTCCGGGTCTTCTGCCAGCGCTTGTATGCTTCCTTCTTCTGCTTCACGACTCGCTGGACCTCCTCGTTCCAGAACCACGCTGCCTTGTCTCCTCTGAATCCACCTCGCGTCTCGCCCAGTACCTCCTTGGCGCATCGTAGGATGATCTCAGCTGCACTGCCCCAAGTCTGCTGCACTGGTCCCTCAGGATCTGGGAGACCAACTTCCATTATCTTTCGCCTGAGGTCACCCTTCTCCGCTTGGTGCAGCTTCCACCACCGGATTCTCCTCTCGGTTCTTACCCTTGTCTTCTTGGGGAGGTCTATGCAATGTCTGCCAGGAGGGGCCTGTGCTGGGGAGCCAGATCTTCGCCTGTATAGTACCTTTGCTGTTTATCAGCTCTGAGAGGATAGATCTTTTCACGAGCACATGGTCCATCGCGTTTCTCGGCTCGTGCACTGCTGTAAACTACATTCTAATTCTCCTCTTCGCGAAGAATTGCAGGGCAGATTGCCAGATCGTGGGCCGTAGCCAGGTCCAGGACCCTCTCTCCCTCGGCGTTCCTCACTCCTATCCTCTACCTCCGTGCACCCTTTCCGGCCTCTTCTGTCACTGCCGACGTGACCATTCAGATCACCTGCTACGGTGAGGTATCACCTCTTGGAATCGATCTGATGGCATCGTCAAGGCTTCGAGACAGAGCCCCTCCTTATCACTTCAGAACAGCCGGCCTTGTGAGTGGTTCGCAGTACAGGGTCGGAGTAGTATTGTAATAGAGTTTGCGCACCTATCGGATTTTCCCTGGCTTAGCAGCTTTCCATCACGTGTTTCCTGAAGGCATAGAATTCAATTCGAAATAGCTTCTTTGGCCGTTCACTTATGGTCAGTAACCGTCGCATACTGACCACGGAACTCGGATGGGGGTTCTGGGCCCCTCTTCCGGGGGACGTCCTAGCTTTGTCACTGATTACTTTACTTTTTAGACTTTAGAACATATTTGTTGTGAGGGGATCTTGATGCAGGTATTGATTTTTAAGCTTCGTAGGGGCTCCCATGGTCTTTTTCTCCTGCTCAGGGATGGAGATAGATTGTTGGTCATGTCGATTTCCCGGCAGCTGCACGTACCTGGAGCATTCGGTTGCCCACCTGTGTCGGGTGAGCCCTATAAGTTCCCATGAGCGCTTTATCTTGTTACCTTAGTTCTTGCCCATCCTGGATATAAATGAAAGGTGAAGAAAAAATGTGGGCGAAACATTTGATTCCGTTTTCGACATTGTGTCATTTGTCATTAGGTCACATTTTTTTGAAAATGCGAATATGCATTATAGCAAACGCATTAAGCAATGGATTTCTAAGCAAAGAAGTCATAAATATGGAGATGACGATGGCAATGGGAGCGAGCAAGAAAATTTTAATACAGTATTTGGAATAAATCATACTTAGAGGTAAGAAATACAATGCACGACAACGAGAATGAACCCTCGTAGTCCACCTAGACACGATGTTCCGAGAGATTTGTCACAGTTTCAAATGAGGCTCACGGAACAATTGGCTTCAATTTGTACAACACAGGAAAAACATCCATTCAATAGAAACAAATGGTGTGCAGTATATTCCGTTTCTGATTTTTTGCCTCGAAATCTGCCAAGATTTCGTCGATTTCATTGTCCAGATCGTCACATTCATCCAACTAAAGTATGAATAATCAGACGATAAGCTCCTATACAGTGATCACTATTATCTCAAAATCGCACAGTATTTTCAGTAACGATTACTTTCCAATGTGAATCCTACCCAAACTTCTTAATCAACTAGGAACTATAACCTCGAAACTATAATATATTCCTTTTATAAGAATGAGACCAATGAAAATAGAGAAATAAGTACCACAACAGAGTGCGTTTGGCGGGGGTGGGGAGAAGGTCGGTTTGTTATCACGGTTGCGGTCAAAATCATTCCTAGGGAGTAAAGACTCTTAAGCCTAACAACATGAGTGGAAGTAAGGCCAGAGGAAATGACACCTCCCCCCCTAATTTTTGGCTCAACCCTGGTTGTTACTGTAGCCGTGTTGCAATGTATTATATCAGACTGCTTTCCCACCCTTGAGGCACATAGCGCCGATTATTATTCACGTATATTTGAAAAAACACAAAAAATACTCTTCTCCGCATATTTGCAAAATAGCCTTAAGGCGCCTATGGTTGCGTTCCTTGGTTATCTTTCAATGGTCGGATATATGACATGAGCGGATTAACGCTTGTAGTGTGGGGCCGAGTATTGAAGGGGATCAGACGGTACCTGAAACCAGAGATGAGCGTTTTCATTAGACCTCTTTCACGATGGGTATCCCACCACTGAAAGACCTCAAACCGATCAATAGCGGGGCACAGGTCGCAACTCCAAGAACGGGTGCGTGACTATTCAATCGTGGCGATAGCTAGGTCGCCGCGCCAGCCGCCGCAGCCCGCGATGCGACGTCGGCCGTGGTTAGAATTCAGGGTTCTAGCATTGGGGAATGTAGGATTAGATGAAGTTCCCAGTCGTGAAACACGGTATATGATCACCTGCCCCTTAAAATACAGGATCCTTGTCCTTTGCCATTATTACAAACTTATTCTGTCATACTGATGTTAATTGCCTTCCTCACCGTTCCACTGCGTCTTGGAACGTAATATTTTTCCGATTGAGCCAGATTATCGCTCTCTGATAACAGTTCAGGCAGTTGATTAATAGAGAAGTCTCATTATGTTCAAAAGGACAACCTTTACATGGCACAAGCTCTGTACAGTGAGGCTTAAATAACTGCGGAGATCTTAAGGTGACTCTTGTTGGCTCACTGATGTCTGGAACTTTGGTCTTATCAGTTCTCTAACCCCACCAGCAACTTATGGACAAGGACCGTTAAGCCAAGGCCCATACAAAAATCGCCGCACCATTTGCCGCGCGCGACGCTGCCCGCCGCGTGAGCGGCGTGACCTCATTAGCCGACGATTGAATTGACCGTCTCCCCCAAGGGCAGATAGGGTAAATCGCGAAAGGAAAGTCGTCGTGTACTTTTCCTGGTACACAATCACATTCAAGGGGAAGAATCCCTTTTGACGCAAGTCCGTTCGACAGACGGAATTTTTTCTGTAGGTGCTGTTTTGGTCCGCTCATGCGCACCATCGCATGGGTGTGTGCTGCGGTATTGGTGTATGCGCGGGTATGGTATTCGTGCGGCTGGCGCAATCACACGTGCGATTCAGAGAGGAAGGAAAGTATAGTTGGGAGGACGCGTCGGCGGTCGTTCGCGCTTAAGCAAAACGCGTATGCGTCACTGCGGGTTTAAGATTTCGCTTAACATGGCAAATTTTACCAGAGTCTCTAGACAGAGCCTTGGTCAACTGCTCTAGTGTGGATCACTGTTACGACCGGGGAGGAAGGTGTTGTAGAACTCTTGCGACAATCACTAGCGAATCTCGCGATCCGAACAGTTTGGGCAACCTTGAGAGATTCGAGCGATACACCAGCGATCACTTGCGTTTCGCTGGCACATCGCTCGTATCGCTCGAATCGCAGGGCGAGCGTATGCTTTCCCTACCCATGACCCTCCTTCCCTTTCAGTAATAAAATGACGAAAGATACACATGGCTTAAAGATCGCCCAATAATGAATGAAGGAATACTGCAAAGCTAACCTACCTGATCATAAACCCTCTCTTCAAGACAAATAATGACATCGAATTCCTTGTCTTCGTGTTGAAACTTCTGTGGAGCTGGCTTTATGCGACGATTTCGGTCCAGCATATTCAAAAGTCCATTCTGAGTGTAACTTAAACAAAGTGGTAGACCAAGGTAGTCCGTTGACAAGGATCACAGACCACTTACTATGCTGAATCCTTCGCTTTGAGGTCGTTATAAATGAATTCGTATGTCGTTTTTCCAAACTCATAACAGTTTGGTTTGTCTATTGCTGTGCCAGGAAGTTTAACTTGATTTCCGGACCCGTAAGACTCAATATTGAAACCTCGCTTTCTGAAAGCAGCCTTCGTTAAAGAGTTCATAAAAACGCCAATCAGTAAGGGGCACTCACTGCATAAAACTATGTGCCTCCATACTTCGATTCATATTACTGGAACAACTGACAGCGAATTTTAACTTGTTGATATCCATGCTCAAATGAAGTTCCATCATCACAGTGAATAGATCATAGATAAAAAGGCGGAGTGGCAAGAGTTAACCGATCTTTGGACAGGATACGCCATGTACACGACTTTATTAGAAAATTGAAAGCTCAAGTGCATATACGATGGTACATTGAGAGCAACAAGATGTACCAGAGCATGATTTGCAGGAGATGGTATTATCAACAGCTACAAATCCAGAGTAGACGCTGCCGCCAGTGTGACCTCAAAACAGTGAGGGGAAAAAACCTTTAAAACATCGCCTTCAAGGGTACTTTAAAACGCAATCACGAATATGACATCTGTTTTGCGGCAGGCTCTTTTTGTGCCAAAGTAGTATTCCTTCGCGCTGCACGGCGCCAAACGACGATGACATCAAAAAATTGGTGTCAAATTCTTGATAAGGGCAACAAATAATCCCTACAGACAAGTTCGTGGCGAATTTCGTGAAAACAGGTGTTGTGAATGTAAGGCTGGTGTCAGAGTCCGCGCTCCGTCGCGCGATTCGCGCGACGGATCACAGGAATCACAAAAGTCCTATC